CTTCTTCATCTGGGGTAGTCTCACTTTCGGATGCTTGTTTTGCTGTCATGGGTTGCATCCGAAGCCCAAAGATAAATGGTAAAAAAGCAAAAAGAGTTGAAACATGGGCATGCTTGTAATTTTACCCATCATCGTAACGTTAGATTAACGAAGTTGGACTGAAATGTATATTTTTACAAATTCAAATACTAAAGTGCTACATTTGAAAGTTCAGGCCCTAAGGTGAAATTACCTCCAAAGTACATGGAACATATCTAGAATTTACTCTTGATTTTGTTAATTTATATTATTTTTAAATTAAATTTAAACGACTTTGGGTATTTACAACTTTTAGAGTTTTGGTAGTAAAGTGATACACCCCTATAGTTTGGGGCTTTTTAGAGTTTACCCTATATAATAGTATTAAATGTATATATACAACTTATTATATATTATATAATAAATATAGTGTTTTAAAATATAAATAGGGAAAATTTCTTAAAATACTCCTATGGTTTAGGAAATTAACTAACACTACCCTTACTATTTACATATTGTCTTAAAGTATCCTTAAGTTTTATAACAATTGTCTAAAACCTCTATTGCCGTTAACTTTCCATCACACTCTATTCACATATGACGTGACTAACATATTTTAAACCATTTCTAAAATATCCTTTAAAAAATTCAAAACAATCATTACTTGATGTTGTAACTGCCATTTCTGAAGGAAGGATGAAAGCCATTATGGCGACTCTAGCACACTTGAATCTGGTCTTGAACAAGCGAGGCGATCCAAGGCAGAGATTGACGGCCTACACGGTATCTGCTCTGTGGTCCCATGTGAGATTCGTGAGAACTTAGGCTCTGTTTGGTTTGTGGGATGGGGATGAGGAAAAGGTAATATTCCAAAAATATTCCATTTTCTCATATTTGTTTTGAGGGAAAGAGGGGGATGGGATGAGAAAAAGGTGGGATGCCAGATCCCAAAATTGTGGATTTGGGATCACACCAAAACGGTGCGACCACAGTGGAAAAACTTGAGAAAATCTATCTCCTTCCTCACTCCTACATGCCTCGTCCATTCGATTGGAACTTGGTATTCTTCTTCGTCTTCCTCCTCCTTCCCGCATGCCTCATTCATTCGACTGGAACTTGGTATTCTTCTTCGTCTTCCTCCTCCCTCCCGCATGCCTCATCCTCTATCAATGCTGGTTTCGCAGGCCACCACTGCTTCGAGCTTTGCTGGTTTTGCAGGCCGCCACTGCTAAGAGTTGCAGCGGCAGTGATCAGAAAATAAAGAATGTGGCAACTGAGTTACCGTTGCCAGTAATCGAAGGAATAAGGATTACGCTGCTAAGAGCTGCAGTGGCAGTGAAAAGGGAGGAAGAAATAGGGACGGCGGAAGGAAGTCGAATGAGGGAGGAGAAATAGAAAATAAAAGAAAGAATGGAGGGAGAGAGAATGAGAGATTGGAGAGGAGAGAGATTGCCGCCGCCACTCCTCTGGTTCAAATGGTGAGGAGAATGAATAGTAGATTGAGCTCTAATACTTCGGTCCTTCGGTCCCTTTTACACTTTCCCATCCCATCCCATCCCAATAAAGCCAAACAATATAAAATTAAATTTTTATACTTTCCCATTCCATTCCACCCAAATTTTCCCACAAATCAAATGGAGCCTTAAGAATTCCATGTTTTCTTGTGATGTCAACCTGAACCATGAAATCCAGTCTGGTTTGATTTCTAGATTTCTGGGTATAAAATCCAAACTGGAAGACCCAAAGAGCCATAGGTGATTATTGAGTCTTGAGTATTAATATTCTAAAACCCATAAAGTCCATTCATTGCCCTAAAGTACTCGCCAAGATAATGAAGGCAATGAATTGCTTTTCTTCATTGAAGTGGGGGAAAGATCCAAGGTAGTCAGGAACATAAATGCCAATTTCATTGTTGCGCTAGTGGGTGGGTGATGGGTTTTGGTTTACTTGGCCGGCAATGCGGAATAGAGATTTGTCATCTTTTGGAATAATCTTTGGTGGTGGATGCGGTATGCTAACAATTTTGCTTTTGATTCTACTATTCTTGTCTTGCTCAATGTTGTTTGTGGCTGGATCGATATTTCTTACATGGATTTTGTGAATAAAATTGCCGGTGGTGGTGGTGGTGGTGACATCATCGGTGCTACTTCTGATGGGGCTGGTAACTGTGAAGATGAATGCAAGAGGTAGACAGAGAAGAATAGTGCAAAAAAGAGGAAAAGGGTTCGGAGATAGAATTTTTCTTTTGCTTCCCTCACTGGTCACTACTGTTTGCAAATCGAATCCGGATCTCCTGGCCACACAAATTCTGCCCACATCTACCTACATAACATTGCAACTACACATGAAGAACATCTCATTATCTTAAATGGTATTACGCAGGGGGAGATATTCCTAATTCACGGGAGTAGTGTATTGTGGGTAGACGTGAATAGAGTTTTCGTGGGCAGGAGATCTGGAGTCTTGCAAACCAAAGAGAGAGAGCAAGTATAAGTGAGAGTCACTCTTCTTGGACCTAACTCATTGTCTCTGTCATCTTTCTAACATTTTAAGTTAACTGACCAATGGTTTCCAATTCCATATTTAAATATTTTTAGCAACAAAAGAAAGGGATTTCTTTGACTTTGTGTAGGTACTTTTAGTGTATGTTTGGCATCGATGCTGCATATATATGTGTGGGTTGGAAGCACCGTTTTCTGAGAAAATGGTGTCTTCTTTTTTGTTTGAAAATGTTGCTATCAGGTAGGATGTTTCCTAGGGCAACAACAATACCTTCTGTTTGGTACCCGTGTTCTATATATGTTTTCAGCTCTGCTACTCATTATAGGAAGTCCACGCCACTACCACATCATGTCCTTGTTGGCAGCAACAAGTTCTAAATTGGGAAAACACCAAATTCGGTGTTTTTTCAAACCTCGCCTTCTCGATTTCCAAGGCGTGGTTTAGAGCACTGTTTTTTATGGAAAAATTGTTCCAAACATGTTACCATTTTCTGAAGCACTGATTTTTCCAACGTGGAACTGATGTGTTACCATTTTCTAGAGCAACAACATCGGTGCCAAACACCACCTTAAATGGTTTGGTTCTAAATTCTGAATTATGATGATTGGTCATGTGCAACTCTCAGAATTCTTTACAGTGGCATGTGAAGGCTAGAAACGAGTGGAGAGGTGCGAGGTGTTTGGGAAGTGGTGAGCTCGGATGAGGATGGTGTGATTAGTAGCCAAATAATAAGAGGAAAAAGAAAAGAATTTTCCAGTAGCGGAAATGGTATCAATTACTTTTTTATTTTTCATTAGTTGGGTTTTATTTTGACAATTTGAGAAATAATGGAGGGTAAATTTGACATTTTACTTTTTATATCAATATTTAAGGACAATGACAATTGTTAGAAAACTTAGGAATACTTCAAGATAATATGTAAACGGTAAGGCTAGAGTTTGTCAATTTCCTAAACCATAGAGGTAGTTTAGTAAATTTGCCCATATAAATATTCTTGTATATAATATATGATATTAAGGCAGATAGGGCCTAAAGTATTGGGGCCTAATTCAACTCTAAAATTTTTGAGTAGGGATGTCAATTTCTACTCTACCCAGTAGGCACTCACCCTTTGTAGTGGGTGCTTATGCATTAGCTTTGTTGTTGTAAGGCATATGAACTTATGCATTATGTGAATTTGATCATGGGTTTTTTAATCTTATGTAAAAGATAATTATTAGTTTATGTACTTTCTATGTGTTTCAATAAAATATTTGGAAAAATTGATGTTTGTTTATGCTATCTTGCTTATTTATTGTTTATATATAATAATAATTTAGTAAATACCAAGAAATTAGTTGCGGGTTTTAGAATTAACCATCCTACCCTCGAATGCATAGGGCTATTTGCATTTTCATGTGAGGGAAGGATTTATATTTTAAAAATCCAATCATTGCAGGTTTTGGGGAGGGTTAGGGTTGGGAAGTTTGAGAAGGCGGGAAGGTATAGAATTTACAAAACCTCCCCAAATCCATCCCATTGTCATCCCTATTAGGTTTGGCTGGGCAACCTAAACCAAAAAGCATTGGCTTGAGCCTGAATTTGTGGGCTAGGTTAAGTCGGGTTTTTGGACCAGCCCAAGAATGATACACCTATTTTCACTAAACATAGTTTTGAAGGATGTTTGTATTGGGCCTACCTAGGAGTGGTCATGAGCTATTTCTAGCTTGACTTGTGAAAAGCTTGATTCTACTCAATCTAAAAGCTAAGCTTGAATCTAATATATAGGTTCTTTTGTTAATTGAGTCATGCTCGAGTCCAATAAAATTCGGTTTGTGAGAACTTTTACACATACATACAACAAGTAGAATCGAGCTCGGAATTATAAACTTTTGACTCGAGCCAAATTTGAACTCAAATTTCTAGCTTAAATCAAACTTAAACCTGATGATTTATCGGCGAACAAAACTGAATAGCTAAATATTCGACTTGATTCGACTCGAATACCCCCTGCCCACCTAGGAAAGCAAGAAGCCACCGTTCTTCAGCCACCCACTCCAAACGGACAATAAGCTTTCTTTTGTCCACAACTTCACAAATCATTAAGATTGGAGTGCAGTGAAAATGTGAAATTGGTTCATGATTATTGATTGATTCACGGTCCTGTCCATTTGCTGGAAACAAGACGTGTAATTGTTGCTTGTACACCCCAATCAAACACGTCAGATCTGTTCGAAGACAAAGAAAAAGAATCGAAGGTGAAAGGTGGAAGGCAGATTCAACGTGTTGGTGATTGGTTGGTGGGTCCATGGGTCCATAACTGTTATTGGGCCCGAAATGGACGGACAGTTATGGGTTGGTTGTAAGACCTATGAGCGATGAAGCAGGTCACAAAAGGCTTTGGATTTTGGATTTGCTTTGGGCCAAGTGTCCTCATGTTTTGACGGCCCAGGAGGCCCAAATATTTTTCCAAAAAGACCAAACAAGACATCATCCCTCACTTTTATCCATTACGGTCAGTCCAGGCTTCAGTGCCGCTACTGAGAAAAAAATGGTGAACTTGGGTGCGTCCAAGGTGTTAACGGCGACCAGAGATCTCATAAGCTCGTCAACCACCTCTTTAACTCACTTCCGCCCTCTCACCTGCGCCTCCGCCTCCGCCTCCACTGCCTGTCATCCTGCACGATTGGTTCCCCACCCACCTGACTTGGTCAAATGGGTCAGGCAGGAAGGGGGTTTCGTTCACCATGGGTTGAAGATAGCAGCTGGAGACTCCTATGGACTCGGTTTAGTGGCTTCTGAAGAGATTCCAAAAGGGTCTGATCTAATCGCACTTCCTAGTCATTTGCCGCTGCGCTTTCGGTCGCTGGACTCTGAGGATGGGGATGGTATTGAGTCTGTTCTAATCCAGTTAGCTCGACAAGTTCCTGGTATGCGCTTTCCCTTTTCTACTTAATTTTTCTTCTTTTAGTTTCCTGTATACATACATATATACATTACCATAAAGTTTTCTTTATGGGTATTGTTCTTAGGGACTGCAAGTGACCTTTTTTTTTCTGTGAAATAGTGAATTCTTTTGGGAGATATCTTTAATATGTATATTGGATTTCGAAAAAAAATGTTTATTGTGTAAGTTGCCTCTATATTTTAAAGCGTAGTAAGGATCCAACTGTAGCCATCACATCTTTCTAAAGGAACTTTGCTTCGTGTTGATTGTTAGCAGTTAGCATTCAACAGTGTGATAAAATTTGATGTAACAACCATTTTTCTAAAGTCACATGTAGAGACTGTCACTTGTCTGATATTTAAATCCATAAACAGTATCTTGTCACTATTTGTTCTCCTTGGTACACTACTTTCACATCGAATCTGTAACATAGGCATCACTTACATTTGAAAACTTGGTTGTATTGATGAGGACATCAACCTGAATATCACCTTGTGTACTGAAAATTATGGGTCTTCAAAAGATTAGAACTTTGAGGAGCCACATTGGTGACTCTCTTATTTTTTTGATATTATCATCCAAAAAGAGTATCTTGTCACCGGTTGTCCTCCCTGGTTCTCTACTTTCTTACTCAAACCCATAAGGTGGGCATCATTTCCGCCCCCCACCCCTTAAATTTGCAAAGATTGTTGTATTGGTTAGGAAGTCAACCTATGTATCACTTTTGAACTACAAATTTATAGGTCTTCACTGTTCTGCATGGATGTCATGAAATTCATAATGACATTTTTGTTGAAAGAAAGATATGTGAACCAGATATGATAAAGACAGGGCTGGACAATGTATTAGATACAGATTGTAAACTGGAATTTGAAGTATCCAACATGAAGCAACACCTTTGTAGAGGTGTTTGGGTAACAGGAAAAGAAGGCATTATATTATATTAGATCTGAACAAAAAGGTATATATAAAGTGTAGCTTAGTGATTTTACATCAAAAGAGAGATAAAAGTTTTGCTTCACCTATCAAAAATAAATAAATAAAAACTTTGCTTCCCTAAAGGGAAACTAAAAGGTGCCAGGTGTAGTTGGTTACTGTAAAGAAATGGAAATTTTGATTTTACTAGGGTGTATGAAAATGAATTCTAGGCAAGGGAACACTAATTGCATCTAAGAGAAGGTGTTAGACTGGCACCCTTGGGCTGCCCACCCTAAGGTGGTACTCTCTAACTTAATATTGTGCCTTCAGTAGAAAAAAACTAAAAGAGATGAAAACATATAGGACTGTAGGAACTTGGTCTTGTTGGACCTACATAAGGAAATAGGAACAAAGGAAGTGAAGTAATATTTTTGGTCTCATGAGGCTTTTCATTTCACTTATGGGCATAAAACTAATCATCAATTGGTAATGGATGTCCAAATATCATCATTATCCATAATATAAATTTGAAAACAAAGTGACTCAAAATATCGAAATATTGTAGTAAACATAGTGGACGGACGACGTGATTTAAAATAATTAGATTTGTAAAACCAAAACATGGATTCACTTACCACCAAGGGGTATCCCCCAAGTCACCATGAAAATGCAAAAGAAACTAAAAAAAAAAATCAAAGATACATAAAAAATGCTTAAAAGGCAACTTTTGAAGAAAACTAAAGATATTCCATCTAAAAACTTGAGCAATTAGGAGAGATTGGGGGATTGTTTATCCAAATAGACATAAACCTTGTGTCTTATTTAGATGGAGATATCAAGTGTTAAAATAAAACTTGAATATAAAAAGTAGCCTATTGGAAACCTATTTGAAAAGGAGACCTATTTGTAAATTGCCCTAGATGAAATTGCTTCAAAGATTTCTTCAATTAGGACTTCCCTACCTCTTTCCTTGACATGAAATAGTTTATGATTTCTTTCTTCCCATATAGTCCCAACACACAACATCTCTCATACACCTCCATAAAATCGGGCCCCTTCTTTTCTGCCAACTAACAAAAGTAGGATTTAACAAACATTGTACGCTTGGTGGGGGATTCCACCTGTACCTGAACAAGGATAAAAGCCATTCCCAAATTGAAGATACAAAAGGATAGGAGATTAATAAGTGATGAGAAGACTCCCCATTAGCCTTACAGAGAAGACACCAGTGAGGAGATAAGCACCGATTAGGTCTTTTTCTTTGGAGCAAATCACATGTATTGATCCTACCAAGGATCACTTCCCAACAAAAGCCCCCATTCCTAGGCGGAATAGGCTTACTCCAAACCTCATTACTTAGGAAAGGTTGACCTTGGTTATCCCTTGATTCGGTTAGAGACTCAAAGAAGGAAGACAAGTAAAGATACCCGATGGGGAAAGGGTCCAGAATTTTCCATCACTTCTTGAAGGGTCTAAGAACACATTCTCAAGACTTTGAATCAAAGTAAGAGCACTGTTGACCTCAGTGTCTTTAAGGCCTCTTCTTAGACCCAAATCCCAAGCAAATCTAGAAGAAGAATTGGAAGTAGTCAGAAATGAAGCAATAGGTTCATCCTTCTAGTTGCATAAAGCATAAATTAAAGGAAATTGTTCTTCGAGAGTTATGTTATCCAACCAAGGATGTTCCTAGAATTTAACAAGATTACCGGAACATGGATAATTCCTGACAAGTGGCAAGAAAGAAGGAAGGGTGGCATGGATAGACTTCCAAGGAGAAGCTCTTGTGGCCCTACCCATGGATAGACTTCCACGGATACAGATAATCACCTTCACCCATAGTTTGTCCCTGTCATTTTGGCATCCTCCAAAGTCATTTAGCTAGAAGAGCCTCATTCTTTTCCTAAATATTCCCTATCCCTAACCCACCAAACTTCTTACTTCTTCTAACCACCTGCCAACTAACTCTATGGTCCTTTTTCTCTTCCCTTGGCTCCCACAAGAAGTCTCTCATCAATTTTTCAACTTGATTGCTAATCTCTTTTGGAGAATCTCTCAGCTACTAGGTTCCAAAACTGGCTTCTCCTTGGATTGTCCCCCAATGGTAGACCCGAATAATTCAACGGCAATTGATCCACCCTACAATTCAACAACTCAGCCCCTTTATACACTTGTCTATCCTCCATGTTCAATCCCACAAGGCAACTTTTGTCCCAATTCACTTTAAGATTTGACATTCTTTCAAAAATCAGCACTAACATCGCCTTCTAGATGTACCTTCTTTATTATTAATAAAATTTTCTTTTTTATGTACTACCAAAAATATCCTATTGGCTCAAATTAAAATACATAAATATAATGTATAAAACATATGCAAAACGGCTGTAAAAATAAAATCAAACATAACATATAAAACATATCTAAGCACTCAACAGTTCAAGCATGTTAAACTTTCAATCTATTTATTTCTCTCCCAATTGCATTACATCAGGTAACTAATTTGATGTGAGACATCTGGCATTCCTAATTTTACAAGATTGGCGCTCCACCTTTGTAAAGGCCCCTTGAGGCAAGCCCAAGTCCATGTGAGGGTTCTAAATTTTTGTCTGTATATAAGGAGATGTTTTGTGATTTTAGTTGCAGTTCATTATATTTTAGGATTAGGAATCTGTTGTTGATAAAAAAAATAGGATTAGGAACCAAATGTTATTTATGAAGAGTGTCCTATATTAATAAGGATGAGAAAAGACTAGCAAGGGGGGGGAGCTTTTTTATGGTGAAAACAAAAGTCTGATTCATCAAAAAAAAAAAAAAACAAAAAGTCTATGAGAAAACAGTATTTGGTTGAGGCTAGAGATATTATAGGCCTGATGAATGTAAAAATTAATTGGATTCTTAGGGAGTTAAATTCAATGGCTGATGAATTAGCAAAAACAGATGTTCACAATGAGTTTTTGTATAGTGAAAGCTCTTTACCTGTGTAGTACCTATGTAGAGCTTCATCATCTCATGTGCCCTGCTACTCTGATCTTTGATCTCTAATATATATACTCTTAGTTATTTTTAAAAGAGAGAGGGGGAGTTGCTCAATTCCAGTGAGAAAACTTATTTTTTTTTTTAATTCAAAGTTAGTAAGCCATTACTAATCTACTAACAATATTAAAAGGTAATTTAGAAGTTGGTAAACCATTACAAGAATGTGAATCAACAAAAAATATGACAAAAAAATCGCTTTTAAAAAAGTGTACACTTGGGCTGAGGCACAAGGTGCACAGATACATGCTTAGGCACACTAGGTGTGGCCCTTTACAAGGGGCTGCGCCCGGGCTTATTTGAGGTGCATACCTTGAAATGCACCTTGTCTGTGTGCTTGTGCCTTATAAATTACTGGTTGGCCTTTGTCTTAATGTTGTCTGTGTGCTTGTGCCTTATAAAGTACTCGGTGTCTCTGAAGTTTAAGCAGCAAGAGGATGACTATACATGGGTGCTCACAAATGTTTACGGACCGAATGACTATAGAGAGAGAGAGGAGTTGTGGGAGGAACTGGC